ACAGAACTGGGCTGTTAATAATGAAGTAGCTCTCCATCTTCCTCCTCTTCCCAATTACTGGCCTTCGGCTGCTGCTGCTAAAATGACAGCAGCTGTGGCTTTTTCTTTATACTTAGTGGAAACCTGCCAGAAAATCTGGCCAATTCCAATTATTTTTTACTGTAAGCACCAGCCCCCAAATGAAGGGCCTAGTTCTGAAGCGGCTCTGAACATGAAATTCTTGGGGACTTAATCTGCCTCAGATATTTCACTGGTGCCTATAGGCATCAGCCAGTCATGAAGAAAGCGTAAACTTAGGAGGCTTTCCCCAGGGTACTCACCATGTTTGTCTGCAGAACCACCCTCATAGATAGCAGACACTACTATTTTTCCAATTGGGGAATCAATGCCTCCCTCTACTGCAAGATCTAATGGTCCTTCCTATTAAAGAAAACGTTTTAGTTCAGAATACGCTACAGACAGACACCACAATCAGTAGGGGCCTGATCCTTCCACCCTTACAGTGAATAGGACTATACACATAATAGTTGCAAGATCAGGTCCTTGGTGTATTCTGTGGTAGTATCAGTGGTCAAGGTTTTAATAAGTGTTCAGTGATTTTGAGTGTCTCATTCTTCAAGTGGGCATTTCGAGACACATAGGAAAGGCCTGATTTTCAGCATCTTTGGAAACACAGGCCTCTTTAAGGTGTCTGAAGTTGGGCACCCAAAATCACTAATCCCTTTTGATAATCTTGGTCAGCATCAAACTAGTTCATATAAGATAATGGACATAATTCTTCCATGTTATTCCAATCAAAGAGGTCCAAGCATGACCACTGTTATGCTGAAATGGTGAAATAACAGCAATAAAACAAAACAATGTCACATTATTGAAATAAAAATGTATGATTCATTACAATTTCAACATGCTTTTAACAAAAGAAGAAAATCAGGAAAAAAATAGTTTGTTTCTTTAGAGAGTTTGAACTGTGCAAGTTACCCAGATTGACTTAAAAATCTAGTTACAACTAAATAATCA